AGATTAAGAGAAGAGAAATCGTTACCAAACTAATCTGTATTAATGGAAAATAATTAAGAACAAGAGTTGAGAGAAAAGTTAAGAGAGAGAAAAATCCTAAGTAGAGAGAGAAAGTCTAAGAAAGAAGATAATCAAAATTCCGTACAAAACTCGTATATAAACGTTTCCTAAAACAAAATTAAAACTAAACTACTCAGGCTATATAAAAACACGCGCCCGATCAGGTGAAGGGCCGCCCGATCGGGCCCGCCTTTTTCTTCGCGTTCCTTCTCCGCAACATCGCCCGATCGTGCTAGACGCTCGCACGATCGGGCGCGCTATAAGTACGCGCAACACCAACACCGCGCCGCGCCCGATCGTGCGACCTCTTGCCCGATCGGGCCCTTGCTCCACTTTGAGGCTCAAACTTCGATTGGGCTTGATTTCTCGGCCCTATCCGAATTGCCTCTTCGGGTCTTGAATACTCGGTCCAAATACCTCGGAATCCCAATTACCGAGCCCTTAATCACCGGCTCGATGACTCTAAACGGCCTTGGGCTTCAAAGATGGTCGTATTTCTCCAATGCTCGTGATTGCTCCAAAATAACTCGGGAAAATACTCCAAAAGCATAAATCCCTGCAAAAGTCAACCAAACCTACGAAAAAACTAGAAAACACCAATTAGTAATAAAAATGGCTATAAAGAGACAAAAAACACTACTAATTAAGACCAAGGGACGGGGGTAAAATGCTATATAAAATAGACACATAATTAACTCCATAAGGTCTTGAACCAAATAGGGTTCGGGGATGAAGGTACAAATACAACCTAAAAGAGATTGAACCTGCCCTAATAATAGGCCTCTACTTTATTCTGATCGTATTCATGTGCGCTTTCTGACTAACACGCAATCAATAGGTTTAGCCCTAAACCTTTTTATCTATGTTGGTTGAATATTAATGCACAAATAAAACTATTATTGGTGATCACTTGAATTATAATCATATTAACCCTAAATAAGATTATTAATTATTTTATTAAGCGTGATTACAAGTATAGATTCCCTTTAAACATGCATAAAAGGCGTGATCAAGCAATAATAATAAATATCAAGCAACATAATATTCATAAATAATAATTATAACAATTATAATAATCATCATAAACATGTTAAAGCATAATATTAATAGCAAGATCCTAGGCATGATACTAACAAGATTAATAACAAACCCTAACATGTCACTAAACATTAAAGATCAAATATTTAACCCTAACATGATACTAACGATCATAAATATTAGGAAGAACATAGGAAGCATCATAACAATCATACTTAATATTAAAGTTACCCTAGACATGATACTTGGAATCAAAATAACAATCTAAGAATGATTTCTATATAATAACATCAATAAAAACCATTAAAGCACTTACTTGGATGCACGTACCTCTTTCTAATAACAAAATACACACGTTAGTAACTTCAAGGAAAATAATAAACAAACAATTAAATTAAATAATAATTGAAGAAAAGATTAGGGACCAAACCTCAGAAATTAAAACCTTTCACGTCTAGGGCGAAGGCAACTTCGAATATGGCTAGGTGTTTCTAAATCTAATGAATGCGGAATTTTTATATTTGAGAAAAGCTATTTTAGAAAAGAGAGAGAGGGAATAATCAAGAAAATCTTGATGAGAGAAGGTGAAAACTGATGAAAATTGATTGATGAAAACGGAGTTTTTACGACGTTATTTATAGAAAAATCAACCAAAAAGATAAAACATCAAAAACAGAATTCTGACGTAAAAAACTAAGTTGGCGGCAAACACTGACCTTGGCGCCAGACGCTAAGGCTAGCGCCAGGCGCTACAGTTGGCGTTTGGCGCTGAATCAGAAATTCACGCGTTTTCTTAAAATCAGATAGAAATTGCCGTACAGGAGGATAAAATTGTATTTTTCCTCAAAAATGTTCTTTGATTTTAATTAAAACTCTGAAAAGTCAACAAAAGTCAATTTATCAATGCTAATTGAATTAGGAATGAAAAGAACCTTCTAGAAGAATCTAGTAGACTAAAACCATTCCTAATTGCATTAGGAATGATAAATCCATATTAGGCCCTCCTCTAGATCATTGGGCCGCACATAAGGCTTAAACCGGGCCAGTTCATTAATTTGGCCATAACTTCCTCATTATTCATCGGAATTAAGCTTATAATATATCGTTGGAAAGCCTTTTTTAAGCCCCATCCAACTACACTACTATTGGACCCATATCATGGACCAACCAAACTGGATTGGCTATTTTCTTAAAATAGGTTTTCAAAAACAGAGAGGAGAAAAGAAATTAAAACTTTCCGCAATACTAAACTTTCCACACTTTCACTTCATTCGATTATGATTCGACATGAAAGAAACTCATCACTGGGTTTGGTTTTGGGGAGACACAAATGGGTGTCTACACGGTGGCATTGACATGATTGCTTTGATCTTGGTTGGGTCTATCTCTATTCCTCTAGAGCTTATGACATAACCTAAAAGCTTGCCTGAGGTGACTCCAAAAGCACACTTAGATGGGTTCAACCTCATATTGTATTTTCTTAGCCTTTCGAAAATTTTTCTTAAGGTTACTTGATGGCCTGGACGGTCTTTAGATTTTACAAACATGTCGTCCACATATACTTCGACTTCTTTGTGCATCATGTCATGGAGTAAGGCAGTCGCTGCACGTTGGTAAGTAGCACCCGCATTTTTCAACCCGAATGGCATTATTGTGTAGCAGTAAGTGCCCCATGGTGTTATGAAGGTTGTTTTCTCCATGTCTTCTTCTGCCATGAGAATCTAATTATAACCTGCGTACCCATCCATGAACGAGAGAAGTGCGTGATTTGCTGTGTTATCCACCAGAATATCGTTATCTGGTAAAGGGAAGTCGTCCTTTGCACTTTCCTTATTTAGATCTCGATATTTGACACACATTCTTACCCTTCCGTCCTTTTTCGGAACTGGGACGACGTTGGCGACCCATTCGGGGTATTTTGATACCTTGATGAAACTTGCAGTTATCTGTTTTTGAACTTCTTCTTTTATTTTAAGAGCTACGTCGGGTTTCATTCGACGTAAATTTTGTTTTAAAGGTTTCATTCTTGGAATTAGTGGTATAGTGTGTTGAGCTATTTCTTTATTAATGCCTGGCATATCTTTGTATGACCAAGAAAATACATAGATAAATTCTTTAAGTAAGTTAATTAAATCGGTTCTTTCTTGTTCATTAAGCGTTAGTCCGATTTTAACTTCTCTTTTATTGGTTGAATCATTTGAGATATCAACCGTCTCAGTTTCTTCAATTACTGGTGTTTTCTTTTCGAGTGTTTCCAATGCTTTAATAAATTCTTTGTCTTTTTCATTGTTAGTTAAGCAATGCTCGTCATCTTGGGTTAGAGAAGAACACAAGAAATAAGGAGAAGATGTATTATTGTACTCTGAGATCATTACATCAAAGAGTGATATGTCCTCAGGGACTTGATCACTAACTATTCTAGGAAAACAGATAGAAGGAGAATGTGCTACTACTAAAGACCTAGATGACTCTATTGGAAAAGACTCTGACTCTGACTCTTCGAACATCGGTCCTTGCCCTGTCGTGATGGATATCTTTATTCCACTTGGATTAGTCACTTTGACGGTCTTGCACCAACCTTGTAATGATCCTTCCGCTGGAATGATTAGCTTCGAAGGATCGAAGCTTTAACTTTGTAGGACTGTTTGAATGAGCGAGGAGTTATCCTCTTTGTATGTTGGCTAATTCTTTTCTCGCACAAATAATAATCCTATGACATTAAAGTCAAAGCATGGGGGTGCTTTCTCCTTATGGACAAGAGTTGGGATTTCATCTGTGAAATAACAATCCAAGAAAATTTCAAATCCCGGTTGCCTTATGCCGTTTACGACAAATGGTTCGGGAAATTCGTGGCATGGATAGTCCTCTGCTTCTTTTACGAATTGACCATTAAGTGTAAGAGGGTATTGATCCATTGGGATTGCTTTCTTTTGAATGTGAGTGTCCCTACGTGCCTTTGATTTTTCTTGGGCTCGCTTAAGATCTTTCCGAGTCAGTTCGAAACCAAGTCCGAAAGTATCTAATTTAGGGAGGCCAGGTGACTCTAGCGGTTTTGATATTCCTTTCTTCTTTCCTAGGGTCATCCCAGGAAAATGTCCTTGCTTCTTTAGAATAGTATTTACAATCGTGTTGGAATGGGGGTCATGGCAAAGAGGGGTCCTTTCATCGTCCTGGATTAAGGAGACCTCTTCGTTAAAGCCCCACAAATCTTCATCATCCTCATCGTGCTCCACATTAATTATTAAATTTTCTATAGACTTGATTCTCATAGGTGAAGCATCGATAGTGATAAGAATTCCCCCAACTATGGCTTTTACTTGTTGGTAGAGAGATGAGGGGACGACCTTTAGGTCATGAAGCCAAGGGCGTCCCAACAGTAAATTGAATGAAGCCTTGATATCTACCACTTGGAAAGTAGTAGCGTGTTCTATTGCTCCCGTCGTTACATTCATGGTAATTTTACCAAGAGCTTGACGACGAGTGTTGTCGTAGGCCCTTATTCCTTGTGTCGACGGAGTTAAGTCTTCATCCCTTAAGCCTAGCATCCTCGCAGTTCTAAGTGGACAGACGTTAATGGCTGATCCATTGTCTACAAGAGTCGTAGGGACGTTCATTCTCTTGCAAACTACTGTGAGGTTTAATGCCTTATAGTGTTTGTCACACTAGTGGAAAAAATCTCATTCGTAACAGGCTTTTCGTAACGGGCAAAGATTTGCCCGTTACAATTAAGATATTCGTAACGGGCAAACTAGTGTCCGTTACGAATACTTATTTATTCGTAACAGGCAAAATAGTGTCCGTTACGAATACATACGTATTCGTAACGGACACTATTTTGCCCGTTACGAATACTATATTACACATAGATGACCAAACATGGCCCAACTAATGAGAGGAGAGCCCAATACTCGGCTTTTTAGGTTTTCACTTAACAGCCGTCACACCTCTTTCTCTCTCATCAGTCCCTCACTCCCTCTCTCTCTCCTTTCCTCTCCTCCCCTCTCCGTCATTCACCTCTTCTCTTTCTTTTCAAACTTAGGCCCTCTCATTTCGAGGAGCAACGAGAAGAACTTGAGCAGCGATTGCGTTCATCTTGAGACTGGCGGCTTCATACATTAACTCCCAAGCGGCGTCGGTTTTGGGCGGAGGTGTAACCGGCGATGACGAACAACCAAGCCCGTAGGCTTCTTCCTCTTTAGATCTAAGTCGTTGAACGAACCGATGCTAGGTAAGATTATTCTCTTTGTAATCATCGAATATTAAGTTAGTTGATTCAACTTTATTTTTTGAAATTTATGTTGTTTTTAATTGATTTTAGTTTCTGGATACTGGATTTTTGGGATATTTTGTGCTAAATTTTTGCAGATTAAGGAATTATTATTGTCTTTTTTAGATCTAAAGTTTTTGATTTTATTCCAATTCTATCTTTATTTTGTATTTTAATCTCCTCAATTATTTTTAGCTCTCTAATTTGAGTGGTTTATGATTTTTCATCTTTAGTTTAATTTCTAAGTAGGATTTTTTGTTTCGCTCACAGGTTCATTTCGATTTCATTCTCTTTTGCATTCTTTTCGTTCTTCGATTTGATGTGCAGGTTCATTTTTTGTTTTGTTCTTCACATTAAATTTTATAGGATTTGTAATTGGTTATTGTTCGAGAATTATTTAGGTTTTTGAGTGATTTAATAGATTTTTAATGTGATTATTGATTCTGCATTTGATCTGATTTTCAATACGTGTTGTTAGTGAATTTGTGAAATCATGCATTCTCATCATTGGTAAGATATGAGAATTTCTCGTCTAGATGTTTGATTCTTAGTGTTGATTTAAGGATTTGTGATTTTGGATTGTTTATTACAATGACTATTTTAACTAATCATTTTTTATTTTGATACCATGAAGATTTGTGCATCTCATTTAAGTTCATGCAACCATGACGAATTAAGGAAATTCTATGCTTACTGAATGCTAAGGTTGTAGTAGGTTCAAAATTATTGAATTTCAAGACCACTCTTTTTATTGCATCCTTTATTGTTGATTGTTACTCAGAATTTTGAATAGTGTAACTCCATATGCAGACACACACACTATGCCTTGAGTTTGATATAATGTGGAACTCAGTTGGAGACTAGAATAGGTAGTAAAAATTCTTTAGTCCAAATGGAGGTGGTGGGAAACTATTCATTGAAGATTTTAGACTGATGCATATAGTACTCCTCTGATGTTTCATTGATTGTCTTTCAGTGCTAGGTGCTACTTACTACTAAGCAATTTTTTAGCTAATCGTTGTGATATACTTTGTATTACTCCGTAGATTAATAGATGAGTATCCTTCACCTGCTTGCATGAAAATGAGCATCCTTTTTATATGAGTAGATAATTTATCTTTAAGTCTTCCACCTAATAAGTAAATAACAAAAAAGGTGGTTGCTCATATATAGTTAGATTTTTTTTCCCCCTAGTGTGTGAAATTTGTTAATTTCATGCAGGCACCTTATTCTGATCCAAGGACCAATATGCGTTATGCCAATGCTGAAGTTTTTAAGCAAATCAGGTCACTTCCCAATGATTACGTGCAGCGGTATCTGGCTCTTAGAAATGCTGCTGTTGTCCTCAAGTAGTTTATTGCTTCCCTTCAACAACCTTCTGTTTAGATACTTGCCATGTCCGTACTCCTTAGTCCCATTGTTCAGATATGATGAAGCCACTTTTGTCAGCAAAACTTTGCATTACTTGAAGATTATCCACTATTCCCTGCAGAACTATGCATCACAAAGTAATACAACTGTAATCTGTAATCTGATTCAAATCAGGCAACTGAGGTTGTGTATCTAACTCTCAAATACATGTGACTGCATTACTAATTTACTAGTAGTCAGTTGGATAATTGGTCTAGACATGTACATTTTTGCTGAATTGCTATAATATTGTAGTTTTAAAGGTTGGTATTATAACAGGCTGCGTCCCCAGATATTCCAGAAATCATTCAGCAGATGTGAATATATTAGCTTTTTATGCATTTGGTTCATTATTTGTGGTTAAGAGATTATGAGAATCAGCTAGATCAATTGTGTAGGATTGATTAACAACCTATTTCACTAGTCAAACAACTTAGTCATTTATCTTGTCGTGCAGGATGTTGGGCAAGCAATGCGGCAAAGCTACTCAAGAGTTTTGGAGAGCTTAGCATTTACATTATGGCTAGACTAGACGATTTAATATTTTAGGTAGTCTTATGTAAACTTGTTTAATTATTATTACAATGATTTGCTTTTGCTTTGTTTTAGTTTTAGTTATTAGGAAATTATTAAAGCAGCTTTTCTTGATTGTATATTATTCGGTAATTATTAAGTGTATAATGTACTTGTATTATATATATATATATATATTTGATTTGATAAAATAATTTTTCAAGCTAGCTGTCCAGCCATGTGCTGGATTTTTTTTTTAATTGGATCTCATAGTATTCGTAACGGGCAGAACCTGTCCGTTACGAATAACGGGGTTATTCGTAACGGGCACCTGAAAAGTCCGTTACGAATAACCCATTATTCGTAACGGGCACCTGAAAAGCCCGTTACGAATAATGGGTTATTCGTAACGGGCAACATAAATGTCCGTTACGAATAATGGGTTATTCGTAACGGGATTTTCAGGTGCCCGTTACGAATAACAATGGCCATCCGTAACGGCCGCATACGTAACGGATGCTGCCCGTTACGGATGGCCCCTTTTTGCCCGTTACGGATGAGGATTTTTCCACTAGTGTCACCTTCTGGGGGTAAATCCTTGTCAGAAAAGGTGATCAAATTGATGGGACTAGGTAGATCACTCGTGAGGAAGTTAGCTAACCCCTCAGGAGTGGTTTCGGAATCTATCCCTATTTAGTCCAAGGCGTTCATTATAGCCAATCTATGTTCTCGAGATGTCGCCAGAAGTTTCCATACGTTCATTTCAACTTTTGTCTTCTTGAACTGCTTGATGATATCATTATCTTCAATGATAGGTATGGGAACTTGCTGTGCGGTTGGCATGGGTTGTGTTGAGACGGGAGGTTGCATTCTCACGGATCTTGTGAGGACGTCTATCAATGAGTCTTCTTTAGCCCAAAAGTCATCCATGGCGTATGACACTGAAGGTGGAGGTCCTACCACGTCTTTTAAATAGACGTCTTCTTCATCACTGTCCCAAACTCCATTAATACTTGTATCCTCTACTTGTGGAACTTGGTCTAGTTTCTTTTCATCAATCATTTTCTGAATTAAATCCTTAAATTTAAAACATTTTTCGATAGTGTGACCCCCTGATTGATGATATTGACATTAATATCTATCTGTCCTTTTCAATGATTCGAATGGTCTTGGTTCGAGAGGTTTGATCTCGCTACTCTCGGAGAGCATTTCGAACATTTGTATATATGGGATCCCAATTGGAGTGTAGAGTCTATTACTCTTCTTGGGTTTTTCGGTGACTTGTAAAGGAAAACGCTTTGCCTCATAAGTCGTTTCCATTGGTGCGAATTCTCTCTTGGGTTCATCTTTCGGGAGTGGAACCTCGTCATATTTCTTCTGAAGTTCCTTTATAGTCCTGAGAGTTTCACGTAGCAAATACGATCCTTCCATCATAGACAGTGTGAGCGATTGTATGTCCTCTTTACTTTCTGGTTCTGGAAGGTTATCCATGGCGTCGAAAAAAGATATTCTCCTCTTCTTCGATGGCATGGATTTCTTTAACCGGTTTGATGAGAGACGAGGGGTCGACCTCGTTTTCCTCATCAGAGATAGCCAAAGAATGTGCGAGAGGCGCATTATCAATACTTGGCTTCTTACTGGCAGGGGGCAACGATAGCTTGTTGTTATCGATTAAGTCTTGGATAGATTCTTTAAGCTTCCAAGAGTTCTTGGTAAGATGGCCCCTACCTTGGTGATACTTGCAGTATGCATTGGGGTTCCAATTAGCCGACCTCTTTTCGACTGGTAGGTCCCCAAATGGTCCAATGGGAGTTATAAGACCTTTTGCATTTAGTCGGTCAAATGCGGTGTCATAACTCATGCCAATAGGAGTAAATTTCCTTTTGAATGGTTTCTTTTGTCCTTGATTATTCATAGCAAGGACCTCACTTAGGTTAAAAGTGCTAACATTGTTTGAGTGGGTGGTTTTGGAAGAAGAAGGATTTTCGTTCTTCTTTCCTTTCCAGCCACTGTTAGAGTTATTGTTGGCAGCTTTTAACTTAGCCAAGTCGTCTTCGATATTAATTCCAATGTCGTAAACGGACTTGAAGGTATGGAGATTATTTTGATACTTGTGATGCTTGGAGTATTTTTCTTGAAGGTTTTTGATGAATAACCTTACAGACTCTTTTTCGCTCGGCACCTTAATAATCTCAGCTGAGGTTTCTCTCCATTTGTTAAAGAAGGAGGTGAAGCCTTCGTTCTCCTTCTGTTTGAGGATTTCAAGTTCCCTATGGTCAGTCTCAGCTTGAATGTTGCACTTGTATCTATCAACGAAAGCGTTTGCTATGGACTCCCAGGTGGAGGTCTTTTCTTTCTCGAGAGAAAAGAACCATTGTTGGCAAACGGTCTCGAGAGATAGTGAGAACAGAGAGGGGAACACCTTTTTTTCGATACCCTTAATACTCATTATTGTTTTGAAGGCTCTTAAATGAAAATAAGGGTTATCGGTTGCTTTGAATTTCGGGATGTCGTTGGCATTGAACTTCTGCGGAAGAAGATCTTTGTCCACCGAGACCCCTTGTGAAGTAATCCCTTGAAACTTGTAGTCGCTAGATATCTTTCTTAGACTCTCTTGCATGAGGTCCATCTATTGTTGTTTCACGGGATCATCGATCTTAAGAGTTAGGAGCTTTAGTGCTTCAGTCACGGTAACCAGTTGGTTCCTGAGCTCATTGACTTCTTCTTGTGTTGCCATTACTGTCCTAGCTTTCCTCTTACGAGCTATGGGTTTGTCGAAAAGTTGGACTTGTACGAAAAGGTTGTCTTTGATTAACCGTCCTTCCTTTCTTGACCACGCACTGTGATTTAAACCATTTTGCGTTTTAAAAAATTGGTGCATATTTCGGCAAAAATAATGTATATATTTTTTAGGAACCAACTATGGTATTTACATTGGAGGATTAATATCCGACTTACCCCCCTAAAAAAATGACGGAAAAAACGCGCATAAAAGACTCTCTTAGACATGGTCAAAGTATATGTATTGGTGTGTGCGTTGAGTGTAAGTGACATGTTTAGACTCTTGTGTAAGACAATGGGACTTAGTCCCTAGACTCAATTAATGACTTGTCATTGTTGGAGCTGTCCCTAGACTCAATTAATGACCATGGTCAAAGTAAACTGGGTAATTAGACACACAGTGATGACTCAATCAATAATCCGAACTGTCGTCAAAACGACAGGACTGGCGCCTCTCTTTGCAGTGTAGCGCCAGACAACAGAGCTGTCACCAGGCGCCACACTCCACAAAGTGGCGCTACAGTTCAAATTTTGGCGCCATTGTTGGAGCTTCGATCTGAGACTGTTTTCTGTGTTATTAATCAACAGGGGTATGCCTAAAGTCGTACTAGGTTAATTCTGGTTAAAATATTAGACTTTATTTACTCAAATTAATTAATTAATTAGGAAAAGTTCTTTTAGTCATTAATTTATTTAATCTCAGCACAAGTCAACAAACGGTTAAGAAAACATATATCATATGCACAACAAATAATGCACAATTAGTCAAATAGGCACGATATGATGCAATGAGTTCGCAGCCTAACCATGGGTCTAGTTCTCTAAAGTTCGGGATATGGGTTAGTCAATAGAGGGTCCATGGTTAATTGTCCGGATGCACCGCGCGGAAGCCTAACCGTGAAGGGTTGGCGCGAGTGGATGGGACACCGCGAGTTTTTAGAAAAAACTCGCTTCCACGGTTTGGTGAATTCAACAATCTGGGATGTACCCTTTGTTGCTCAGAGCGTTCAATCAGGTAGATGGAGCATGAATTCCCATGGGGTTATGTCCATATGTAAAACACATATGGGTTTCAGAAAAGTGAGAAAAACTCAATCAGGAAGTAGGATCGAGCAAACAATGCGAAAAACTGGTCGAAATTAGAATGCATATTTCTGGCTCGGTATTGGAAGAATTTGGCGCCAGCAAACAAAGATTGGCGCCGGATTTTGGCTGTAGCGCCTGGCGACAGAACTGTCGTCTGGCGCTATAGTCCAATTCCTGGCGCTAATCGTCTGTTCGCTGACGCTAATTCCTACATGCCTCAGCAGCTTTCTGTGCTCGATAAAATTTTCCAGTTTCGCGCAGTGTTATTTCGGTCCTAGTTATGAAAGATATTCCTCAAATTTCCTACGTGTAAAATCCTATATTTTAACTCATTACGGATGGTCTTTCCAATGAGATCTTTTTTATGCATATGACAATAATGTTAATCAAAATTACTCGCATGAAATACTTAGAACATTTTGAGTCTCATCCACTCATTCTAAATAATTTCCAAAATAAATTTTAGGAATTGATATAGAAATCCTCCTTAGTGGAGTCGCCAAAACTGTAGGGAATATTTCAAGCGTTACCCCTAACTTGAACCCCACTGTGATCATACACTAAAGCATGGTGGCGTCCAAAGGGAAAGAAGATAGAGAAAAAGAGTCGCCAACAAGTTTAACATCCAAGAGATCGTAAACTCCATAAGGTCTTGAACCAAATAGGGTTCGGGGATGAAGGTACAAATCCAACCTAAAAGAGATTGAACCTGCCCTAATAATAGACCTCTACTTTATTCTTCTCGTATTCATGTGCGCTTTCTGACTTACAAGCAATTAATAGGATTAACCCTAAACCTGTTTATCTATGTTGGTTGAATTTAATGCACAAATAAAACTACTATTGGCGATCACTTGAATTATAATCATAATTAACCCTAAACAAGATTATTAATTATCTTATATAAGCGTGATTACAAGTACAAATTCCCTTTAAACATGTATAAAAGGTGTGATCAAGCAATAACAATAAACATCAAGCAACATAATAATAATCATAAATATCATAACTATAACAATTATAATCATGTTAAAGCATAATAATAGAAAGATCCTAGGCATGATACTAACAAGATTAATAACAAACCCTAGTATGTCACTAAGCAATAAAAATCAAAGCTTTATCCCTAACATGATACTAACATGAATAAATATTAAAAATAGCATAAAAGGCATCATAGAAATCATAATGAATATTAAAGTTACCCTAGACATGATACTAGGAATTTATAATAACAATCTAAGTATGATTTCTATATAATAACATCAATAAAACAATTAAAGTAC